CACTCGGTCTGATGGTAAAGAGGGGGGTTCATGGTATTTGGCCAGTTTACGATGTTCTGGACAAATGGTCAGTTTAAGATTACACCCAGGGGGGTTCCTAGCTTGCATCTGCAATCCTTATCAGTTAACCCCCTTTCCTGCCATAAACCCCAGCTTGTGACTTAGAAGTCTAAACCCCCTACAGAAAGGATTAAATTCGAACCCCCGTCTTCACATCTTTCTTCAATTCCAAACTTTAGAAAGTGATTCTGCTTGTGACATGTCCCATTTGGAAATAGTTTTAATTTCTCCTACTTTTAATTCATCTCCCAACAAATGACTTCATTGACCCAACACATTCTTAATGTTTAATTTATCAGACACCTACAGCTTTAGGTGACTAAAAAGGGTCTCAGAGTTTAGATAAAGATTGTGATACCTGGCACACACTTCTAGTTTCGAAGCAGAGAAGATTTTCGCTGATGTGTGGTGTGTCCCCCGGCCCTCCACAGGCACACACTGGCAATCCCTGTCTATAAGGGGTATGTCCTTCTTAATCTTTAATTATCTTGGAAAATATACATAGTACAGGCCTAATTGGGGTACTGAATTTAAGAGAATGCTTTGGACTTCAAGCCCAAACATCAGGTTTGCTGTAAGTCTTACTCAGGATACACATTCAATTCAGTTTATTTTTATATAGCACCTTTTGCAACAAGGTTGCCCCAAGGTGCTTAACAAAACAAATGACCGTACATGTGAATACAGAACAGAAAATACCAGAAGACAATGAAGGAGAGGAACCAAAAGCTCCTTAGTAAGGAGAAAATTATACAATTAAAAAAAGGAATAAATGAATAAATGAATAAGGATAGAATCCATCTATCACGTGTTCTGTATGTCAATACTCCATGCAGATCTCTGTACTGAAATGTCCAAAGCCAAACCCAGAAAAAAACACTGTTCATTTTCCATTCTATAAAATACATTTTCTGGTAGTGGCACATTTAGAAACCCAGAATGTTGTTTTCCCACTATGTCTACTGCTTTGGGTAAAAAAACTGTAATTGATATGATCAAGACACCAAATTCTGCATGAGGTTGTATTTAGACACCCCCAAAGGTACCCAGACCTCTCCAAGCCTCTCCTAAATGTGAAAATGTGCAAATCTTTTTGGCCAGTTATACCTTGTATTATGAACACATTGTACAGTATGTGGCATGTTACCTTCTGCTATCTCAGATATTAGACTTTGCCTAAAGATCACAATTTTTAATCCACTTTTTTTTTTTCCTTCATGGTACAAGTTTTCACCCAAAAGGTGCCATTTTCTGGAGAGGTTAGGGGTTCCCAGAATGTGTTGCAAGACAAATACTCTCATTTAAAATGCCACAGCTGTCAGACACTTCTCTCACTCTTTCTGTAAACCCACTTGCCTTGTTATGTATTTCCATTTGTACAAGTGACAGACCTGACAAGGTTTTTTTACCTCTCAAAATGGATTTTTCTTAGCCTTTCTAAGCAATCTCCTGTTCCCATTATTCCATCCTGTCAACACAACTGTTCTCAGTTCTTTTGATCAGTATCAATCTAACCTCACCTCCTTTACTTTCACCTTTGAAATCTAGCAGGCACACCCAAACAATGTCCCACAGGCACTCAGAGGACTGGATTGATAGTCGTCCTTCTTTAGCTAACGACCAAAGTCCCGCAATCTGTGGCTACACTCACACCTTTAAAAAATAGCAGGCACACCCAGACAATGTCCCACAGGAACTCAAAAGATCCTTACCTTGTTTGCATGTACGCATAGCATTTTTACTAAAGGGAAGGGAATTTTCGCAAAGAAAAAAAACACATACTGTAAGTAAACAAGGACAATTACAACTACCTGTACATATAGCCATGATGTTACAAATAGTGAAAAGGGGGAAATCAACAAATCACACAGTGCAGAAAGGCCATAAGGTTTTCTTACCCATTAGCCTGCCACATGTGCCACCTGGCAAAGCAGTTTCTGTCCACAATAAGGAACGATGCACTTCAATTCAATTCAACTTTATTGGTCATTATACTTAAATGGGTGCATAGTATAGCGAAAAGTGTTTCTCATTAGTCTCTCAGGTGCAGTATATAAACAGAACAGAAGACAAGACAATAGACAGTAACATAATGACAATAACAATGTAGTAACAATAACGGTATAATCAAAAACTGTGCAAATACACAAACAGAGAAAAGTATACAACAGGACAAAAACAGTGCAAAAGTAATTCTGAGAACAGTGCAAAATTAATATGGTGATTAATAAATATTACAGCTAGTACAGTTTAAGTACAATTTCGGCTTACATTCAGTTGTCGTGTACTGTTTGTAGTGGTGTTGGAGTACAGTCATTGTGGGTACAGGAAGAAGTGAGGAGAGATCATAGTATGGTTTCTTAAAGACCCTACCTGAAAATTATGAGGAAAACTGATAAGAAGAGTCTGAAAAGAAGATTATCACAGAGCCACAGACAATCGGGCTTCTAGACTGAAAACATAAATGTATTTCTGTCTCGAACTGACAAAGTCAGGATACAAATTACATCTGTATAATCACTGAACGTCAGATACCACAGTCAAAACCCTTCACCTGGCTGGGACAGGTCTCTTAATTGGCTGCAGGTGACAATGGAACACGCTTGAATTTTAAAAGCCAGGAAAACGCTAGCTCTGATAAACCCGAAGAGAGTAAAACTAACTTGAAAAACCAATAAACGATTTATGCATCACAAATAATAATAATAATAATAATAATAATAATAATAATAATAATAATAATAATAATAATAATAAATTTAGGCAATCTTAAAAATAATTATAATTTTCAGATGTGAGAGGGTGAAAGGTCGTCGTGACGACACAGATACTATAAGATAGCTGCTAAGGGGAGAAGCGTTTAAGCACAGGGGTAAAGTTCGCTTGAACTTCAAAAATGATTTTGGCACGCCTGTAGCGCTTTCACGAACTCTCTTAGAGTTACAAAAACACTTGCTTTGTGTATAAAATACATTGTGAATGCTTTCTCAGCCTTCACTTTGTCGTTTTTATGACATTTTTTTTTACCACGCTCGAATATTCTTTTGTCCATATCTTCGCAATGGTAGCACAGAACGCCTTCAAACCAAATGAAATATCCCAGTGCATTGTGCCACATTAAATAAAAGCAGGAGAAAAAGAGATTCAGAACACAAAGCTGTGTCAGTGTTCTGTGTAAAAAGTCGGTTTGAACATCATGGTAGCTGTTTTTAATAAGCTGCTGAGTAAAGAATATTTTAATCTTCCTGCTATCAGTAGTATTGTGAATATAGTTGACCCTTACCTGAATGAAATCAGGACGTAAAGGAAGGGTTTCAGAAATCAAACAAAGATTTATTCCCGAGCTTACAGTCTGGGTAATTGGAGACTGCGCTGTTCTGCTTCCTATGGTCATATACGGGTTTTTCGCGTGATGCCATTTTGAACAGTATTTATTAACAGCATCTGATCGTGAGGAGGAGTCGGCGGTGGACAGTTGTTGCACTACCGAAACGGCCAGGTGAGTGGCTATACCGCACCTGCCTACCCAAAAAAGATAGCACGCCCCATGGCTATATATGCCTTGCAAGTTGGCCGCTTACAATAATAATGTCGAACCTTTCACTAATAGTATACCTACAAATGGAAAAGTGGATCCAAGCCTTCCTCAAAGACAGCCGCACATCATCACTTTCGCCTGAGGTCCTGCAAATCTCCTCTGGAACTTCAGGAATAGTTGGTATTCTTACCTTCTTTAGGTCCTTTAGAGTTATTTTTTTTTGAGTAACGACAGTTTACTGAAAAATAGCTTTGTTTTATACGAAGTATTCTTTCATTTGCTCTTGTGCGTAAAAGCGCACCTGTTGTGCGTTTTGCACAAATCATTTGTTTATTGGACGGGGCTGCAATAAACCCTACAAATGGATCACTATTGGTCAGACCTGTTTGGACTGAAGTCAATGAAAACGTAGTTTCAAAGCAATGGTGGGGTGCTTATGGAAAATACACTACCTCTTTCGCGGTAAGAATGCAGGACTCGAACCAACATTCTGCTGGTCGTTCATTTATAAAGCGCAATATGAATGGTTTGTAAAGATCTCGTTATCGGAAACCTGCATGCACAGCTTGGGAGCAGAAATTATGCAGTTTCCAATGATATATGGTTTGTTGTGTTGAGTTTTGATTTGACCGGTAAAAACAAATTGTCAGGAAGGACTGTTTTCAGTGTTCAGTTTTATAATTTATAATACGTTAGTTTTTCGGAAAATAGTTTAAGTGGTGTATAAACATTGAAACGATAGATTTAGAGGATATTGGAGATTGCTTTCATGCGTGGAATTGTGTGAAACAATAAAGAATGTGGTTTATCGTAATGGAAAGTGTAACTAGGCGCAAATTTACGCGTGAAGCCGAATGGACAATGTGGCGCTAAAGAGCCTACAGAGGCCAAATAAGAGAGAAGCTGCCTTTCTATAGGCAATAGAACCTACAGTTAAATCCTTCTCAACCTCAACCCCGGATGCCACAAAATAAATGGGAGCCTATCCCTCTATTCTAAAAATGTACCCTAAGCAGGAAAGAGGTTTCTAACCGAGGTGTCTTTTTACCCAAGAAACCCAGCTTCCTGAATAGCAAGTGCTCTCTCGCAAGGTTCAAATACTTGGGTCCAGTTGGGGGTTGTTTGGATGATCACGGAGTAGGGGCTTTCACCTGGTGCAAGTTAAAATTTCCCTCTTCTCTCTGCTTCCTTCCTGTCCTCCTTCTCTCTTGCTTATTGACTTAACTGCTATAATTCCTGATTTTTCACCATTTTTGTAATCTCCCATTTGAAACCATACATTTTTGCTATAAACTGAATCAAGGATGAATTAGATCAAATGTTTTCTTGATTCCCTGAGTCTTTGTAATAACTTCTAATTTGCAAATTAAAAGAACTGAGGCTTTGGGAGGTTAATTTTTCAAATTAATCTACCCCTTTATCTGTAATTATTAGGAAATGAAAAAGTCCTATCTGCCAATAACCCTCTTCTCCCTATGCGTTTTCTCCTGCAGTTGGGCAGGCAGGCCTTTTGAGTGCCCGTGTGTTCTCCTGCCAAAATTTTTTTTTTTTTTAGGGAGGCAGGTTGATAGGCGTGTCTTTTCCCGCAGGTGCTGACGGCCCGCTTTTGTTTACAACTCTGTCGGTGCAGCTGCTGCTAATGAGGTGAAGCTGAGTTTTTGTTCCTGGATTTTTTTTTGTGGACCTGTGGGATTTTTGTTTCGGCAGTTCTTAAGTGTGGAAGGACATTTGCTTTGTGGTCAGGCCTGTACCGGACTTGCCTGGAACATTCCTGGGTGTGAATGCCGGGCAGGTTTTGCTGTTACAAGTTTTGGAATGGTTTCTGCGTGGAGATTTAAGCTTGGAACTGGCAGCATCAGCCAGCATCTGGGTCAGGACTGAAAAATACCCTGCAGTTCAAGTGGCTCAGAGGTGTTGGAATTATGCCCATGAGAGGATTTTTCTTGTTCTGTTGGGTTTGTATTTAGTGGAGGTACTGTCTGCAAAGATCTGGGTTTTTGCAGGTATTCAATGCAATGCAATTTGGGCTCAAGAAGATAGTCCTCACAGTCCATATGTATAATCCTTTGTTCCCGAGATAGACATTAATGCTTTTTTTACCATGTGGAGATCTTGAGGCTCAAAGTGTGTGATGACTTGGGGAAATTGTATTGGTCGTTGCCAAAAAAACGAAGTCTGTTGTGCCCTGATGAGTCGGGTGTAGATGGTTTTAAGCATCCTTGGGCAAGTATTTTCTAGGGTCAAATCTAGACTGTTTTCTGTGTGGTTCAACCAAGATTGTGTAGGCACTGTAATGGTATGAGTCATATAGGAGGTGTGGGAAAGAGGGACATGAGGTGAAGGAGTACAGTGAAAGACTGAGGTGTTGTTTGTGTAACAAGGTGGGTCATCTTTTCAAGGATTGTTTTAACTGTCAGCCTGAGAGGGTAATAGCTCTCCATGGCAGTCTGAAGCTAATGGCCCTGATTTTTTTTTTAGACAAATGAGTCTCCTGTAACGAATTATATTCCCTTCATCACTTTCATTTTATTTTTTATTCCTATAGGGTTATTTAAGCCATTGACATTAAATTAAATTTCCCCAATCATTTATATATTAAAATACCATATCTTCCCAATCAGTTGCAGGTACGTTTCCCCCTCCAACGTTTTCAATATTTTGTAACAAATCTAGATGTACATTTATTTTTAAACAAATGCGCTTATAAAACTAAAAATAATACAAAAAAATAAGATGATCTCTATTTTCGCCACTACTTCCCCTGGGTTGTAGTCTTGGTTTTAGATCACATGGATCTTGGAATCCTTTTAACGAGTTTTGATCCCTTCTCTGGAGCAATTGTGAGATGGTAATTTGTATACCCACCCTTTCTCCTTAATTCAAAACAATTTTAAAATTAAATAAGGGTTAAACTTGATTTATGTAACAAGTTTTAAATGTTTTTAAATTATACCTCTACTTTTATTCTAGTCCCTAATCTTAAATTTCAGCAAACAAAAATAAACATATCATTCTGCATTAAAGCCGTTATTAGGATCATTGTCCAAATCGGTAAAACAGCCATTATTCAAAACGGAGATGATGCCCACGAGTTTTTATAAACAAGAATCCACTGCTTCTATGAAATTCTCAATTTCTAACTTGGATCTCCATTGCAGTGTCTCTGGATTATTCCAGTTATCTCCAACTCTCCATCTATGTTCATCACTGCAGACATGCATTGTCGCTCTCCCTGTGGGTGCTGGGCGCTCCAGAGGTCAACTTTAATTTTTTTTTCTCCATGATGATCCTTGTTCTTTGATCTTGAGTGCCTCTCCTGCACTGCAGTAAAGTTAGCCTAAAGTTGAGTATTCATTTTGGAACGTTGATAGCGTTTTCCTGAGATCTCTTTTTCATCTATCTGAATTGTTTCCAGTGATTTGTGAATGTTTTTACAACCTTCACTTTGTCATTTTTATGCAATTTATTTCAGACACGAATGTTCTTATGTCAGTACATTCGCAAGGGAAACTCGTAAAGCCTTCAAGCTGAAGGCATTTTAAAAGCTGCAATCTGGGAGAATTTTTACAAACCTTCTGAAAACTAACCAATCAGATAGTGATCTTATAAGCCTTTGGTTTTTGATTGACACACAATTATCCACCAACTGGAATACTGTGGGACTGCTGCGTACTTAAGTTAACTATGCAAGAATAAAGTTCAATAGGTGTTTCAATAGGCTCCCTGTAAGGTTTGGGTTCAAACTTTGTTTTCTGAAACCCATTCCTCCTGTGTACAGTATATAACAGCCCTATACCCAGGGTGTCTCCTTGCCAAATATGAGTTGAGGAAACAGAGACTGTTACAATGTATAATCTTATATACTTTCCACTTGTACTGGAAAGTTGTACATTTACTCTTAACTGCATGTATATTGGTTTTATTCAATAAAGCTTATCTGTACATAATCCAAGACTATGGCTTTCTCTTCAAATTACTACAATTATTCCTTACTGTCAAGATGTAATATAGTATAGTGCACCATTTTCACGTTGAGAATATTTCACTATAAGAATATTTTAGCTTTTGAGCTTTCTTCACTCAGTCTTCTAAAAATGTAAAACATGGGTGAAAATGCACTATTTAGCAGTATGATGATACAAGATCAAAGCTACATGGGAGTGACTTAAGAAAATGGACGTCTTTAATTGGCATTGGAAATTTAAAATTACATTTGAAGTAAATAAGGGTGCATAATTTTGTAATTTCACAATATGACACTATGGGAAGGGCATTTTGCAAGGAAGTATTTGTGCCAGTGTGAAGTCTGTTTGAGTCCTGTTTGAATACTTAGACAAATATTGTGGCAGTACACAGCAAGCTAGTTGTAGGGATAGTTGTAGAGGTGTTAGTCACTTGTAGAAATGTGTAGGGGGAAGAGCACTTTGAGATGCCATTAATGACAGCGTAGAAACATTTTAAGACACAGGGATTTATACATGTTTAGGGAAGAGAAAGAGACATCGGTCGGCAGAAATTGCGTACATTTCAGGCTATTTCAGAAATACATTCTTTAGCAAATGAACCTCTGGTTCAGATAAGAAATTCAGTACTGTATTATACTGGATGATTCTGATGTGCACAATGATTAACTACAATGTGCTGTACTGTGTCTATATTGCACTGTGGACCTGAGCTTTGAGTGCATCAGAGTGCATCTGTGCTGCAAAAATATGTCCATAATGAGAAGGGAGTTAACAACTGGAAATCCCAGCCAGGACTACATTTTTCTTTCTTGGCTCATCCAGGTCGTCATCTCATGCTCGAGGCGATGCAGCCTCATAATTCAGCTCACTCAGAACAGGAAATCCTCTGTCGCTCCACCACTGGGAGAAAATACGAAAAATAATATCATTTTATATAGATTATAAAACTGTGTCATAAACAAGACAGAAGTTCAAAACTACTGCACCCCTCCTTAG